CAGATTTACGGTATCTATCATGGAATCAAGGCCGAAAGGTTGCGATATCCATAATACCGAGCCTAAGGGTTAACAGCTCATGGCTTCTGGATACTTCTCCAGCCTTCCCCGTCATCCATTATTTATTCCCTTGTTTCTTTGCCATCCCTCTTGGTCCCGTCCCTCCGGTGACAAACTTATTTTTGTGTTTGTTTATTTGATCCCTCAGCGACATCCTCTCCTCACCTGCAGACCAATCAATACGTCGGCGTGTGGCCCAGTCATGGCACGCCATTCTCGTGGAAGAGTCCGGGGCACACGTGCGCTCACCCCGCTGTTCCCGGGGAAAGATGATCTGTGGCCCATTATGCTGATCGCTGTAATTCTAGGTTTTCTTCTGAAGAAGAGCCATGGGCGGTGGTAATGGTGAGAGGGGTAAATTAGAGGTAGGAGGAGGTTGAAGTTGGTGGGAAATTATGAGAAGATGGTGGGGAAGGAGAAGGAGAAAATGGGAGGAGGGGGAGGATTCAACAACAAAAAAAGCAGAAGATGGGGGAGAAGAAAATGAGCTGAGCAAAAATGAGCAGGAAGAGGACGAAGATATGAAAGAATAAGAAGAAAGAGAAGAAGAAGAAGAGAAAGTAGTAGCAGTAGTAGTAGTAGTAGTAGTAGTAGTAGTAGTAGTAGTAGTAATGGTAGTAGTAGACGTAAAAGTAGTAGTGGTGGTAGTAGCAGCAGCAGCAGTAGCAGCTCCAGCAGTAGTAGTAGTTGTAGTAGTGGTGGTGGTGGTGGTGGTGGTGGTGGTAGTAGTAGTAATAGTAGTAGTAGTAGCAGTAGTAGTAGTAGTAGTAGTAGTAGAAGTAGTAGTAGTAGAAGTAGTAGTAGTATTTGTAGTAATATTAGTAGTAGTAGCAGCAGCTCCAGCAATAGTAGTAGTTGTAATAGTGGTGGTGGTGGTTGTAGTAGTAGTAGTAGTAGTAGTAGTAGTAGTAGTAGTAGTAGTAGTAGTAGTAGTAGTAGTAGTAGTAGTAGTAGTCTTCTTCTTCTTCTTCGCGTTCACCAGCTGTACACTCTGGCGGAAGGTTCTGGTTGCTCGTCCACTACTGAACTGCAGTCCTGCTCCAGAACCTGAGTGTTGCGTGTGCATCAGTTTTACAGATCTCATTCTCTTGAATACAGACTGTTGGTTCCTTACCTCTCCGGCAGATGCACTCCGACTTCAAAGGAAGCTCCTCAATTAGTCGACTCTTACGACATGCTTTTGGGGAGGCAGTGGGTCTATTCTTGTTTTCCCCACAATGGGGCCCCGGAACCCACACGGGGGAGTAGTAGTAGTAGTAGTAGTAGTAGTAGTAGTAGTAGTAGTAGTAGTAGTAGTAGTAGTAGTAGTAGTAGTAGTAGTAGTAGTAGTAGCTCCAGCAATAGTAGTAGTAGTAGTAGTAGTAGTAGTAGTAGTAGTAGTAGTAGTAGTAGTAGTAGTAGTAGTAGTAGTATTAGTAGTAGTAGTAGTTTAACATAAAATACTAAACCAATCACCCAGAAACAGCTAAATAATTGAAAATCGACGTTCAGCATCACTTCTTCCGTCGGGCGTTGGCGCTGTTAATATTAAAACGCTGCAGGTTCGAATCGCTGTGTGAATGGATATCTTTCAGTTTTTTCAGTAAAAGCTTCTGCCCCTAAGACTTCTATCAACGTCAATCAATACCGACAAATTTACCCCTCCCCCCCCCCCCCCCCTCCCCCCATTTTTTTTTTAGAAGAGCACTAGGAGATAGGCGCTCTCCATCATCCGAAATTAATCTGCCGCACATGCGGTCCACCTTTTCACCTGCGCCCTAATATCGACCGACTTGGACTTCTAACGTGCGCTCTCTTCACCAAAAAACACGTTTTTTAGCAACCCGCGCGTTCAATGCAATGACAGTCGGCGTAGGGAGAGATAGGTGGGCGTTTTCCATTTGGCGGGCTTTCCGCTAATGTCGTCTGACGATTCTGTTACCGTACGAGGAAGAAAAAAAATGTATTTTCTCGTCTAGTTTTCAACCATTCTCCTTCTTTATCTCAAAACCTGGATTTTCAAGAGGTTGCCGTGATTCTACAGCAGCTTTAACTTCTGCACTAACGTGCTATATTGTATTTCTTCTCATTGTTTTGTCTTCCTTTGATCCTTCGGTTATAAACAACTGTGTTCCTTTATGCTGTTTCCCCACTGCTGGTCCTTAATCCCGTTTTCATACTGCAAGGTAATGAAAGAGTTACAAGTCTGTCAGAATGTATTGGTAGAATTCCACTTTGTTCAACGTCGCATTTTGCTTTCGTCTTCTTTTCATGTCTAACTCTTGCAGACCTAATCAAATGCTACTTTAGCTCTGTATATCTTTAGGAGTTGATCTTAAAGAGCAGTGTATACTTAAGCATAAAGGGCTGGAGCAGAGGCAATATGGAATATAAACGTAAGTAAATGGTAAAGGACTGGCGAACGACCATGTTAGAGGGGTGTCACCTTGTCCTTCCTGGTTGTGCAAATATCGGCGGCGAGCTACGCAGTGTCTTATGCTGCTTACTGCGACCGGGCGGCGAGATTGCATTATGTATTGCGTACTTCAGGTACAGCATGGATTTAGGTTAGGTGTCAGCGTTGACTAGCTACGAGGAGGAGAGAGGTGCTTTTCTGGAGCAAAACGGGTTTTAAAAGGGGCGAGCGGAAAATGTTAACAATACCGAAACCGTGGGACGCACTCTGGACTCTCTTCGCGGGACCTAGGCTGAGGCTGTGGGTAGGGGGGTTTGGGTTTGGGCCGGTTCTAGATGTCAGGTCGTTCGCCAGTGATACCACCGGAGACAATAACAACCCTCCTGCAAGGTGTTAATGATAGACCTGCAGTCTACATTTTTGGTGAAGAGCTGGAGACGGTCATTTTACCTATGTGGGTTCCACAAGTCGGCTCTGTGGCTAAGTCGATGGGAGCGCTTCGTAATGCCGGGTTGCCAGGTTCGATCCCCGCTGCGGGCCATGCGCCTTGCGTTGGTTTCGACAGTGGTATCAGGGGGCCGACCGTCCAGGATGCAATAGCAAACTACTGGACGTAAATTTGCCTAGAGAAACCACCCAACAGCCAGGGGCTGTTGGGGTTGGTTCTGCAACGTCCTGTAAAGGATACACAAATTAAAATAAAAAGGGGTTCCACAGTGAATAACAAGCTAACACTGGATCAAGAAATCAATATCAGACAAGCATGGCAGCAACATAATGAGCAAGTTAACAAAAAAGAGTTTGGGAGAACAGAAAGCTCACGATTAAAATAAAAACTAATGTCTGTCAGGATTGTGTTCTCAGCACCCTTATTTATGGCAGTTAAACTTAGTCAACTTATTTGCACCAGGAGAAACGGCTAGATAGCTTTCACATGGGATGCCTCAGAAGAATATGTGGTTTTAAGTTGCAAGACAAGATCACAAACACTGAGGTATTGAAAAGAGCAGGTATTACAATGGATTTCTCAATGTTCAGTCTACAAAGGCTTAGGTGGCTGGGTCACACCTGGAGAATGGAGGATGGTAGAGTCCCTAAGGACATCCTCTATGGGGAATTTCAGATGGGTAAAAGATGGTGAGGCCAACCTCCACTACAATATAAAGATGTGTGCGAGTTGGACATGAATGATACAGGTATTATGGTGGCCGGATCTTGCTAGTCACACTCACCTTCACCATGTACTGTGAGTCTTATGCCTTATCAAAGCACAATATAACACTATCATCCAGCAACAACAAAGGCTTTCAGTATAAACGCATTGTTCATCCATTCTCCAAAACAGCCCGGCCATCAGGTTTATCTGCCTGTTCCTTTTCTTTCACACCTGCATACCCTAGCACAAATATCAAACTGATTGTTATCAGTCTGGACCTCCTCAGAGCCTTCAATCACTTAACCTTGTAACTTTAATATTGAAACTTTAACCCTGTAACTTTAACATGGAAATATTAGTCTTAACATTGAAAGCCTGAACCTTGTAACCTTAACTTTCTAACCTTAACCATTTAACCCTAACATCTTAACTTTAACTTTGTAATGTTAACCTTGCAACCTTAGCCTTTTTATAGTAACCTCAACCTTGCAACCTGAACCTTGTAACCTCAACCTTGCAACCTAAACCTCATAACTTTAACACTGTAGCCTCAAAATTGCAATTCAACCTTTTTAGCCTACAACTCTGAGCCTACTCTTAATTTTTAATTACTGTGTGCCATCTCCACAATCAAGGTTGGCTTCAGGTACCCGCTGATGTCTTTGAGCATATTACACGTTAGGGCACCCATTTCTTCTACAGTGTGACTCTCATATCATTGTAAGGAAACCATCATTTAGAAAACAAATCATCTGGAAATTGAATCCTAATATAATTTCTCCTCGACTTATGACCTATGCAACTTACAACCGTCCGCAGTTATGACCTATTTAACTTATGACCATCCACACTTATGACTTATGCAACTTACAACCATGCGCATTTATGACCTATGCAACGAATGACCGTCCACACTTATGACCTGAGCAACTTACGACCATCTGCACCTACGACCTATGCAACTTAAAACCATCTGCACTTACGACCTATGCTCCTTACGACCATCCACACTTATGACCACATAAAATAAATAACAAAAAACACAAAAAAATTTATAATGAAGAAGGAAAGATACTTCATTGGAAGGGTCAAAATAGTTCCAAGAACTGATGCATGGAGTGTACATTGATGCCTATGTACAAAATTATACTCACATAGATTGATTGTGTGTGTGGTATGTACAAACTCGTTTGAACGAAAACAGTGTTACAAAATAAAAATTGTACTTAAGAGCTGTTAGTCTGAACAAAACTCATCTGTAAGTAAAGGAGACTATGTACTGCAGGATCATGAAATTGTTAAACGCTGTCACTAACCTCTGAACCACAGTGCCACACCTGTTTTGAAATGGTCCCTTGCTAATTATACCCACTGACTTTCCTCTAACAGGCTTCAGTGATGTCCTCACACAACCTTGCTGTCACACCACAGACACCACCCAACACACAACCAGCACCCCAGCCGCAGCTTCAGCCAGCCGTGACAACAGCCCAGCCCCACAGAATGGCCTCACCCAGGCCAGGCAACTGCTCAGTCTCCGCAGACTTCATGCGCCATCAGCCGCCTGCAGCCACATTCCGACCAGCTCAAGAGTTCACCCAGTCTTTCTTCACAAACGGGCATGGTGCAGCTTTGTTCAGGCCAGGTTTTTCTAGCTACCAACAGCCAGCCCATTATCATCCCACCTTATTGCCACATGCTACCATTACAGCGAATGCCACCACAAATGGGGATGTGGGTGAGTGTTTACTTTTTTTGTGTGTGTGTGCTCAACTCTATCTGTCCCTGGCAACGAACCATCCGTGCGCAGCTAATCTCTATGTGTATTAATACAACACATTGTGTGTTATTATTTATTTTATGTTCTGTCTGGGTATGTGAAAGAAATCTGGCCCAATTTTTTTTAATGCAGCACAGTATGTGACTTGTCTTTAAAAGTCATACACTAGTGCATTTTTCTCTGTGATTATTGTGCCTAATTGGGTTTCTACTTTGAAACCATCTGGGACTGACAGGGTTAATTTTCAATTTTCAGTCCACAGGGAACTGTTTGGATTTTCACAAAATCCCAAAATCTGGAATATTCTTTCTCGATCCTGAGATGACTGGCATAGCAAGCTGGCAGGGGATTGTTCCACTGCTTGAAGAAAAAGGAAAAAGACTGAAGATATTTTAATTGACCTAACTGGAACCAACCTGGCAACTTTCTGTACAGTTCATGGTGATTATACTAGCCAGGCAGGCTTAAATCCTTACACACAATCCCCTTATTGTGCATCTCCTTAAAAAGTAGTACATTCAGGCAGTAAGTCCTCATATGGACACTGGAAGGGAAAAGAAAATGGGGGAGACCAAAAGAAACCCTGTGAAGAACCATCATCAGGGAAGACTCAACCATGGGCCTAATGAACATCCAAGACCTCAAACATGTAGCAATGAACCACCAGAAATGGAGAGCTATGACCTATGCCCTATGCACCCCCCTAGGCTCAAGAGGAAAGACCAACTAACTAACCGGCAGTAAGGTCATTTTAAGTGATGTCTAGGTCTGAGAGGGTAAAATATTATCCCTCTGCAAGGAACTGAAGGGAGCACTAGAGAATAGTAGATTAGTGTAACAGCCTGATGGGTCACAGTGAGTTCAACAAAGTGTATCCTGTTCATTAAAATTCCTGTTTGGGTTCCAGGTCGGCTCTGTGGCTAAGTGGATGCGAACGCTTCGTAATGCCGCGGTGCCGGGTTCAATCTCAGCTGCGGGCCATGAGCCTTGCGTTGGTTTCGACAGTGGTATCAAGAAAGCCGACCATCCAGAAAGCAATGGCAAACTACTGGACGTAAATTTGCCTAGAGAAACCACACAACAGCCAGGGGCTGTTAGGGTCGGTTTTTCAACGTCCTGTAAAGGATACGCAACTAACCTATGGGTTCCAGAGTCTCATTGTGAGGACAAAAAAGAATAGATCCACCATGGACTTCTTTCCAAACCCCCCCCCCCCCCCCCCCCCCCCCAAAAAAAAACCCATAATAAAATTCAACTAATTATGGGTATTTACTCTGAAGTTAAAGTCCATCTGCCTGATAGGTGAGGAATCAACACTGCCTGAGAGGTGAGGAATCAACACTGCCTGAGAGGTGAGGAATCAACACTGCCTGAGAGGTGAGGAATCAACACTGCCTGAGAGATGAGGAATCAACACTGCCTGAGAGATGAGGAATCAACACTGCCTGATAGGTGAGGAATCAACACTGCCTGAGAGATGAGGAATCAACACTGCCTGATAGGTGAGGAATCAACACTGCCTGAGAGGTGAGGAATCAACACTGCCTGATAGGTGAGGAATCAACACTGCCTGAGAGGTGAGGAATCAACACTGCCTGAGAGGTGAGGAATTAACACTGCCTGAGAGGTCAGGAATCAACACTGCATGAGAGGTCAGGAATCAACATTGCCTGAGAGGTGAGGAATCAACAGTCTGCAAACAAACAAGCCAGATCTATTAAACGCATGTCCACTCAAAACTCAAGTTTTGGAACAACCAGGACTTTTTGCCAGTGTTAGAGAGGCAGTAGGTCTTTTCTTGTACCCCCAACACAGGGCACTGGAACCCACACTGAGATGTCACATTTTTTAAACCTGACAAATGTACTGTCACATATTGAATTCCTGACAATTATAGTGTCATATATTTAAAACCTGACATACACAGTGGCATATATCTGTCATTTGTCTTCCCTTTCAAGGTCCCACTGATCTCAGTGTAAAGAAATCCAACAGCAAGGGCCAGTTGAGTCCCTCTGAAGTTACCGCCATCAAACAGCTCATTGCAGGGTATCGAGAATCAGCGGCCTTTCTTTATCGTTCAGCAGATGAACTAGAACAACTGTTATTGCAGCAGAACTGACCAAATGCTTTAACTGGCAGGAATTGAAGGACCAAATTGTTTCAATATTATTATTTAATTTATATTGTATTTTTTCTACACATTATGTTGCCTATCTTGAATGGAAGATTTATGTTCATCAACATAGGAGAGCTCTGTATTGTTTTTGCCTGTCTGCCAGTGTGTGTTGTCTCATCTTGTAATCTGCTGTGTAGTGACACACAGAGCTTTAACCCTGGGATGTAGTCGTCTTCTTCTTCTTAGTGTTCAGCAGCTGTAAACTTCAGCAGAAAGTTCTGATTATTCATCCACTTCAGGACTTTTATCTTGTTTAAGGACTTGAGATTTGTGTGCACATTCATTTTAAAAATTGGCCTGATCTGTATGTGGACTGTTCGCTCCTTGTGTCTCAGGCAGATGTACTCCAGTTTAGAAGGAAACACCCCTAATTAGTTGTTGTTTCCCACACGCTTGTTAGGGGTTCAGTGGCTTTATTCTTTTTTACCAAGTTTGGGACCAAGAACCCAAATGGGAGGGATGTAGTTAAACACAGAGCTTTAACTCTAAGATATAGTTATACACAGAGCTTCAACTCTGTTATGTAGTTACTTACACAGCTTTTCATCTGAGATGTATTTATGTACAGAGCTGTAACTCAGGTAGAGGAGCCAACACAAGGAAAACAACGGGGAGCTCAATAACTGAAAACTAACTAATAATAGCAGGAACAAAAACAAATAATAATTTTCTGTATTAGTTCCAGGGCCTCATGTTTGGAGGGGATAGAATAGACCCTTTACCTCCTAGCAAGCATGTAAATGAGGTTTAGTCCTACTATTTAGTTAAATACAGAGGTTTCTACCATAGGGTAATAGTTATACACAAAGGTTTTACCCTTGAAAGTAGTTATATACAGAGGTTTTACCTTAGAATGTAGTTATATACAGATTTGTTACCTTAGGATTTGATTATATACAGAGGTTTTACCTCAGGGTGTTGTTATATAGAGAGATTTTATCCTAGGATGTAGTTATAAATAGAGGTTTTAACCTAGGATATAGTTATATACAGAGATTTTATCCTAGGATGTAGTTATATATATAGAGGTTTTACCATAGGATGTAGTTATATACAGAGATTTTATCTAATGATATGGTTTTATAGATAGGTTTTGGTCTAAGATATGGTTACATACAGATATTTTATTCTATTGTGTAATTATATGCAGAGCTTTTACTCTTGATATGTAATTATAGAGTTTCTACTAATTAGAAAAGACCCATTGATCACTTAATTTTTTTTTTCAAGTCTGCCACTTTCTAAAAATCATAACAAAACAAAAGAGTAAATTTATTGGAGAATTGAAAAAACAAAAACATTATGAATTTGTTTGGGTTGAAAAATGATATCATAGACATGGTCTAAATTTGTTTCACAGATCCAGACCACCAACCGGCCACTTCCCCAGGATATACAGCGTGACCCAAATGTTTCCATACATAGGAGACATAAAAATGTCACCACCACCATTACAAACATAACTCCAACTGTGCTAATACATACTTGTTGTTCAACAGTGGAGAATACATGTTGAAATATGTTTTAAAACCAATGGGATTTTTCCTATGTATGGAAACTTATGGGACAGTCTGCAATTACGTACACAGGCATTACTGTGCTTAAAGTTAAAGTCCAGGGGGTCCACTTCATTTCCCCGGGTTGTCCCATTTGACTTGGTGTCTCACCAGAGAATGACAAGTTGCTTGCTGAGAGCATTGCCCAAAGCACAAACTCCATAACTCCAGGAAAAACTCAAGAAATCCCCCTGAAAAATACATTTGTGTACTGAATAACATGTCTGTGAAACAAACCCATGACCTTCAGAACATGAGGCAAACGGCATGACACTCACTGCACTACAGAAACTGTTCTTTGTATTCCTTTTTAATCTGTTCTGTATTAGACAGCTGGTACAGTTTACAGGGAAGTCACCGTGGTGGAGCGGCTAGACACTCACGTGCGGATCGGAAGTTCATGGGTTCGCTCCCTGGCGGAGCCAGACTTTTTAAAAAAATGACCTTGACTTCCAGATCAACCCAGCCTTGAGTGGGTAACCATTGCAGTCCCGGGAAGTAAAGGCGGCTGGCGTGATGCTGACCACATCACCCGTCTTGTGCCGATTGGTCTAAAAAAAAAATTTAGGTCTAGCCTTATATGCCCTATACGCCTAAAGGCGTGGAAAAGGGACTTTTACTTTACAATTTACAGGTTTCTATTGACATGATAAATATTTTTCCCTAAACCCTTGTTTCCCCTGTCTAGTAGTTGCATTAACCCATCCTGTGTGAATGCTTACTATTAACTTTTATGCCCCCACAATGATTTCGTTTCAACTCTTCACACATAAACTATTACTCGGTGTAACAAATTCTCAGAACAGAACTGTTTAACTACTTCTGCAGTCATCTTTAACTCTTTCAGTCCAGGAAGTTTAGCATCAGAGGCCAAATGTGTGGTAAAGAGAAACATATAATCAGCGTATCTTGCATTCACTGAGCTTCTAGGTAGAAACATATGAACATATGAAGCCTTCCTTAGGACTGAAAGCGTTAAAATAGTGGTTGGTATGTTGTCTAATGGTTTGCATCATGTCTGTAATGTGTGAACCTTTCATCCCAACACATCCGATTTCAGCAAATCCTTAATTAGTCACCTTCTTTGACTTGTTTATTAAAAGTGCATTGGGTCTAGTCTTTTTCCCCCTAAATTGGGGACCCAGAACCCACGTGGGGAGTTTAAGTATCGGCTGCTTTGTACTGGAATAGTTACATTTTCTTGACAAAGATGATCTCATATTTATTTTATTCTTTCCTTGGAATATGATCTCAAATTTTTTAGTCTTTTATTATTTTTAGAAATGGTGTGTTTATCATTTGCATTCAAATTCTTACTGAAAATAGTGATTTTTTTTCTTTTTTATATTCATAATATGGCTAGAAATATAATATAAATGATAAACTTACAGACAATGTAATGATTGAACTCATAAAAAGAAGTAGAAAGATAGAAGGACACACAAGACACATAAAAATGTCCCAATCAGTACATTGTCTGTTTGCTTGATTATGTATATATTACTTCTGTGGCCTCAAGGGTTCTGCCTCTGTCTATTTATGTGGCTATAAACAAGGTAGGTCGACAGTTAGGACATGGAAAGGCATCACACAATCTCTACAGTACTGCCCAGGCCTTGTACTTGTGGAGCGGAGGAACTAGAAAATAATGGCAGACAGGTTGAGAACTAAGAATCTGAAAAGAATCACATTAAATATATACAGTGACAACAATGGTCTTGAATTCCCATGCTCTTTTTGTGAAAGACTTTTCTCAATATGAGAGAGTCTTACTAGTCAAACTTGCCATCAGGATGAGCTGTAATCCTAAGCATTCATACAGTTTAATATAACACTATTCTCCGGAAAGACGGAAAAGGTGCCAGCTAACTAAAATAAAAGTTGGTCTTATTGTTCAGCAGTGAAATCCTAGTGATGTTGTTATTTTGGTCATTTGTCATTCATGTTTATATGTTTATTGTTTTGACTCACAAATATTTGTAATGGATGATCATTTTAAACTGTTTACAACTTCTGATTGTTTGTACTGCATTTATTAATGTTTCTGTATTTATCAGGAAATGCTTTCATAACCAGATATTTTTTTAGTGATCTTTCTTTAACTCAAATGTTTTATAAACAGATTAGTGCATTACTTGCCTGCTGATCGGCTCATTCATTACCTGTTACTCCTGCATACCTATGTGTGTAGACCCAGATGATGGACTGACTGACTGACTTTCTACCCCACTAGGACATCACACAAGCGATAAACACCCGATGACACAAAGTGCCACCATGTGGATGAGGATCACCGTGGAGAGGTCCCAGAAACCGCGTTCAGACAATTAGCCATATTTATGGCCTGCCTATATTGCGGCCCCTGGCAAAAGCCAGGGTGGGGCTTCAAATAACAACAAATTTTATCCTAAAAAGGACGTAAAGGTTAATTACCTGTGCTAGGTAAGTATTAATATAGGCGTACCAGATGATGGGGGTTAATTGTGGGTTGTGAATGCTTTCTTCTACCCATTCAGAGTGTAGACTTTGTTTTGCAATTTTCTAAGGAGGAGGAGGAGAATAAAAAGGAAAAGAAGGAGGCGAAGGAAAAGAAGAAGAACAAGAAGAAGGAGAAGATGATGATGATGATTGATGATAGTGTTGATGACGATAATAAGTTAAAGGTGCTGAAAAAAGTTAACATCAAGCCCCTGGTCTTATTATCAGATTCTCAAGAGGGGAAATAACCCCAATTAAAATAATCATAAATTTCGAAGGGGCTTAATTCAGAGAGTTCAGTGTTTTTGACTTGGTGGTTTTTAGCAGTTTCATAATTCTGACATACTGGATTTCATTTACCTGAAGATGTCTTGGCAGAGAGCTGTTTTCTATTGATTTTCACAATACTTTGAGCGTCATTCATTCAAAAAGCTGTATAAAACTACTGAACACAAAATGGTCTAGTAAAATTACAAAAGAGACTCGCTAACCTACACAGGTAATTTACAACTTCCTGTAATACAGAGCCGCTGTATAGGAGGCAATTTTGCGGACTCTAATATAACCTAATGGTTGAAACTGGCTTCTGGGATTTTTGCCTGGTTGATTCTCATCCGAATGATGGCTCTTTGTGTCACTGTGTGTTTACTGCTCATTGTGCAGTCCTGGTGGGGCTGAACATCAATCACTTCCTGTAATACAGACCCCCAAAATGGGACACATTTTTTTTTAACGCTCCACCAAGGTTGCTGCCCGGGATCCTAATATAACCTAAGGGTTGAACAGGGTTTCTGGAACATCCCCAGGGGATTCTTATCTTAGTGGTGGAACTTTATGTCACCGAGTGTTAGTCCCTCGTTGTGTGGTCCTGATGGGGTTGAACAATCACACTCTAACTTCTTGTAATGG